GGTTCAGAAACGTTATAAAGATCTCCAACTACATGATTAATTCAAAGTTCATACTTGAAATGTTGGAAAGGAGGAGACCAGAGACCCATGCATTTCATCTGCCAATAGATGAATGTACTGTCACACTAGAGGACGTGTACATGTTATTGGGTCTCCCTGTCGATGGTAAAGCGGTTAACGGGTCGGTTCAACAACCCAATTCTCTGTGTGAAGAATTGTTGGGTAGGGATATGGTTGAAGGTGGTGGTGCGAGAGGTCAGGGTATATTACTTACTGAGCTAAAAAATCATTATGCGACTCTGGAATTGAATGAAAATTCCTCCGAGCTAGCTAAGGTGATAAAAGCTATAAATTATATAATGATACTATCTGGAACCTTTTTATTTCCCGAAAGTACGAGAAATAGTGTAAATTTTATGTATTTAAATTTACTTAGAGACTTCGAAAAAACTAGAAAGTATAGTTGGGGTTCTGCTGTTTTAGCCCATCTATACAGTTCCTTGTGTAAAAATGCAATCAAGGAAAAATGTATATTTTATGGCTGCGCTTTTTTACTTCAAGCCTGGGGTTGGTGGAGGATGGAGTCCCTAAACCCCGTCAACAACAACACATTCGTTTTCCCATACGTAACAAAGTAAGTCATCAACTTATATCATTTATTACTATTCATCTCTTCACCAAATATATGATAAAAATAAAATATTTTCAATTCCTTTAGGTACTGCGTGAGGGGTATGGATTACGGCAAGAATCCAAGATTCAATGTCGCTTTATACCACAATCTATTGGATCACCTTAGTCCAGATGATGTACGTCATACCTTTCAGCTTTTCTACTTTTAAATTATTTATTTATTACGTTTTCATTAACCTGATTTAATTTTATCCGCAGTTTGTCTGGAGACCATATTTAGGTTTGGACCATGAACCAAACCCTGAGGATGCAGCAATTTGGAGCGCAAAGACTGCAATTATACGATTCAATGTCATGGAGATGCACCACATCGGCCGTGTCAAGATGTAGTTTGGAATACATCAAGAGATACCCGGCGATCTGACTTGTTTGTCCCCGTGGCATCTCAAAAGGGTCGACGCCCAATGATGTCTTACCAACTGGAAAGATTTTGCTCCAAAATGGTGTAAGATGTGGCAGAGGCGTCACCGACATATCTTGCAATTCCCATTTTCCTCAACTATGGTAATATGCGACACACAAATCAGTATTTATCTTGGTACAAATCAGTTAGTACCCCTGAAATGCACGTGTCTCATCTAAGGTATTTGGTTGACCCACGAACACAATGGGCACAACCCTCATTTCCCCAACAATAAACCCAACACACATCAACCTCCCGACAAAACAGAACCACAAACACCCAACCACAATCACCACCACAATACAATTACACCCACATGCCCCACAACCAACCACAATCACCACCTCAGTACCAATACCCCCATATGCCTCACAGCCAACCACAATTTCAATCACAATACCAATACACCCGCATACCCCACACACAATTTCAGTCTTCTGCATATCCCAATATGGCCCCCTCAACATCCAACCTTCGCCCTGATATGGGATTGTCCGAAGATTATGAACTAACCGACCCAACTTACCATCAACCACAACATCACCAAAGCACCCAACATCCTCAATATCAAACACCCAAAGATCCATTTCCTTTCTACCCCCGTACTCAGACGACCAGTGCTACAGACCAACCATGGAACTCCACCCACCACCAACACGACCAAACTTTGAGGGTATGGGCAACCGACTGTACCAAAGCGGATCTTCCAGATATGGAGATCTGACCGATTTTATGGATCCGAAACGCATTGACTTCGCTGGACCATCGACCCTGCCACAACAGGAAATACGACGAAACCCAACACGGAAAATGCGAGAACGGGGATGCGGAACTGGGGGTCATTACCGGGTTTCGGGGGACCACTGATTAATCTGTACTTTTTTTATGTAATCGTTATGTATGTAATCATATTTTGTAAATAAAAAGTCAATTTTGTTGATCCTATATCGTTTACGTAACACACCGCATTTAAAATAAAAAAACGCGAAAAATTGCCTCCCAATTGCACTAAGGCGCCATCTCACTTAGGTTAGGGCAAACCTTTCACACCTAGGCACCAAGTGAGATGGCGCCCCCCCTTTAAAATAAGGTGTAGGCGCCAACTGGATTGGCTCCTCCCTTGTGGGATTTTCTGAAACATAGTTATTTACTTAATTTTCTCCGAAACATGATTATTTACGATTTTTTTTAATACCTAATTATTCCAAAAAAAAATTTCAAAAATTCACTAATACATTTCTATCACTAATACATTTCTACGAGCTATCAAATAATTTACCATGTTTCTGATATAAATTCATTAATTATAAATTACTTATTTTTTAGCTGTCTAGTTAAAAGTAGACAATATTATATTGCTACACAAATTGAAGAGAAAAAAAACCCTTAAAAAGATATTAATGAACAGAAAATGTATTTTGGCAATTTCTTCTGTTTTCTGTTCAAAGGCTCAAGAGTGAAGTGAAGTAACAAGTTGATATATGCTATACGCTGAGGTTGTGTATCTCTCCGTTCTCACGTTCTTCGCCGCTGCCACCACCGTCTCAACACTGACCCCACTCTCTACAGGTTCTCTCTCTTCTCTCCGCGTTTTGAAATTTTAGGTTTTAACCTTGTGTTACTGATGAAATTAAGCACCTTCAGTTTAGGGTATGAGATTTGAATGTATCACGCAATTTCGAGGGAAACGTAAACCCTAGTTTAATGAATTTAGGGTAATTGAAAATTGAATCTATTTCTATAGCAAAAAGATGAAATAAAGTCTCTATGTTTTCATATAAGTTATAGATTATTTTTATAATCTAATTCCGCAGAGCTTATTGAAAATAAGTTGAAAACAACTTATGGACATGTAATAAGAAGTTACCATAAGCTCTTTCAAATAGTCTTACATGTGGTTATGTAAGTACATAATCTTAAAGAAGCTAAGCCAAATGTGCCCTGTTTGGATTGATTTCCTTTGAGCTTATCTTATGTCATAAGTTTTGTAATACTGTTCGTAAGAGCTTATTAAAATAGCTTATAGCATTATTCATAAACTTTTTTGGATTTAATTTTATAAGTTCTCATAGATAACGTATGAAAACAATTTTTAGCACATGTAAAAATAATTTAAATTAGATCCCCGCAACTGCGATCGGGAGGGGGCTGAAACCACTTGATACCAAAACTGACCCTCAAACCAGATTAGTTGCTCCAGTGGACCGGATACTGATGGTGAAAACCAAAAAAAAAATTAAATTTATTTTATCTTTTGTTAGAAAAATAGCTTATGCAAGCTTTTTCATAAGTGCTTATTTTGATAAGCACTTGTGCTATAAGCTCCAAATAAGCTGTTTTTCCAATGTTTATCCAAACAGGCCCCTAGTATGCTAAGCACTTCCATCTCCTAGGGTTCAAGTTTACTTGGGCAGTGCTGGACTGAGAGCTGGTTTCTTTTAGTTGTTTTTAAAGGTCAAGCTTGACCATTATATTTGTACTTGGGTTTTTACTTTTTAACATCCTTAGTATGTTTAGTTTAGTGACAGCTCTTAGTATGTTTAGTATGAATTTTTGAAGGTCAACCTTGACTGCTATATATTTACTTGAGGTTTTAATATCGTTACTCAACATAGATAGACAGCATGTAGTATGTTTGTTTCCGGGTTGAACTGGCAGCAAACTGATATTTGGTGAGAAACAACAATTTCCCACCTCTCACTAAACTGGCAGAATGTGTGCCAGGGTGAATGATGGTGGAAACAAGTCAAGAAATAAAATAAATATTAAGCTAATTATAGAAAGATGCCTTGGAATACTATGACATGTTTATGTAAAAGTAAAGTGAAGCATATGAAATGTAAGTTCAACAGTAAATGCACTAGCAGGACTTGAAGGCTTTTAGTAAAGGAGGTCATACTATACCACATGTCACAAACCTTAGGTCTATGATACAAAGTGGCGTAGAAGTTCAGGGCGGTGTAAATCATAGGATTTAGGTGATGAAAATAGAGGGATGTTTCTCATGTTTTATTGTACAACATAAGGCTTGCAATGCTGCAAGTAAGACTGCTTAATAAAAAAATATAGATGAAGACTGATAATCTAAGTGAAGGTATTAAAAGCATGGTTGTCAAGATCCCGATTTAGATTTTAAAATCTTAAGATTTTACGATGCCACTCACCCCAACGATCCCGATAGAATTGTGTTTTGTGTTGTAAACTGGTCGAGATGTGGGTACCGGCACCAGAAACTGTTCTTTTTCTTTTCAACGTGTAATGTGGAAACATGATTAGTTGATTATGTGGGAGGTGGTTAAAGAAATAGTGAAGTGTTGTCTCTCTGGTGTTATTCTTTTTCTTTTTAAAATAATTAAAAACCCATGAATTGTGGGTTAATACAAATGTGGCCCAACTTGCTCACGTGTTCTTGCCTTTTGTATGGGCAGTAGTTTGTAAAATATAGCAGTGCTGATTAATTAATTGTCTGTCTATTGTGCATTTTACATTACTTTTGACAAAGTCGTCTTCTGGACTTTTAAGTTTTCGCTCTCTTAGTTGCTACTTGCTAATTTGTCTTAGTATAACTTTCCCGAGAATGTAGCCATATGAGGAACAAATGTATCTTTTGGATTCCTTTTGTTGTTAACTTTTTTTCGATGACATTTCCAGAAGAAATTGATGAACATATTCTTGAAATGGAACTTTTTGTTTTACATTTAGACAGTGATATAAATCGTTGTATATATTAACATATTGCGGTCAGCATCATTTTATTTTTATTTTGTACTGTCTCTTAGGATTTTGGCATAATTTATTTATCTTGGGATAGTTTCAAGAGTTCAACATGTCAGTTCACTACTAATGCACTCTTTCTTATATTCAAGTGATTAATTTCTTTTATAATTTGTTTATAACATACAAGATGAGCAGGCCTGACCGTTTGAAGGAGAGGGACAGAAAAAGTAATCGGCATTCTGCGGATAATTATGAAGATAGTGCAGCCCTCACAAGACCTGGTTTTGAAAAGATTATGCATAGAAGAAGAAATAAAGAATTGCCTGAAAATGTAAAAGACCCTGCGAAGGAAGTGTGGAGTATTTCACCTGAAGGTTCTTTAGAGAAAATCCCTGATCATTTTGAGTCTCCAAGAATCTGTAAACATCATAAGATTCCATCCTCTAGCATGGAGAAACATGCTTCAGAGGAAGTAGTGAACGTAAGTTCTAGAAAGAAGATTAAGAGCACCATTGTAAAGGAAGATGATTTAACTGAAGGGAGAGATAGAGCAACCAACATTTTAGAAGCCAAATCAAGTGCTGGTTTAAGTAATAAAGGCCGAAAGACTGAAGAAAAGACTGGAAAGGAGAGGCGTGGTTGGAAAAAAAATGAAGAAATGAGTAAAATTTCTGAAAATAAAGCCGGGACTAAACATTCCAGAGATTCAGTTTACAAGGATAGTTATGCAGAAAAAGATAGATCAAAATCTGAAAGGAAAGTAAAGAAAAAGAACCACATTGAAGAGGAAGATAATCGCAATGAGTATCATACAGAAAGGAAGCATGACAGAGATAGACATGATGGGGGGAAAACAAAAAAGTTGTTAAGCAATGATTTTGAAGAAGTACCTGAAAAGAAGCAACATAGAGACTCAGAAAAGCATATTCATGCAGAGGGTGGAGCAAAATATGAAAGAGAAATCAACAGAGAAACAAGAGCGAATTATGAAAGAGAAATCAAGAGAAAATATCGAAGTGGAGATGGTGAAACTCAGGGCAAGAATGCAACAAGGAAGCAAGATATTGCAAAGCATCATAACCCACACATTGATGAAAGGAAGAACAGGCAGGAAAAGGTGAAGTCACATTATGAAGAATCAACCATGAAGAGGAGACGATCAAGAAGTCGGGAGCGTGTGGATAGAAGAAGGTCCCCAAATACTTATCAAGATGGAGATCGTAAAGACTTATCCATGGTTTCTCTGACAGATATTTCTAGAAAAAAGCATTCTGATGATAAAAATAGAGTATCAATGAATGGTTCAAGTAGGCGGTCAAGAAGTCGGGATCGTGAGGATAAAAGAAGGTCTCCTTCTTTTTCACCAAGGGCACACAGAAAGACTAATCAAGATGGAGAGCGGAAAGACTTGTCTATGCCTTCTCTGACAGATAGTTCTAGAAAAAAGCATTCTGATGATAAAAATAGAGTATCAACTAATGGGTCAAGTATACGGTCAAGAAGTCGGGATCGTGAGGATAAAAGAAGGTCTCATTCTTTTTCACCAAGGGCACACAGAAAGACTAATCAAGATGGAGAGCGCAAAGACTTGTCTATGCCTTCTCTGACAGATCGTTCTAGAAAAAAGCATTCTGATGATAAAAATAGAGTATCAACTAATGGTTCAAGTAGACGGTCAGGAAGTCGGGATCGTGAGGATAAAAGAAGGTCTCCTTCTTTTTCACCAAGGGCACACAGAAAGACTAATCAATATGGAGAGCACAAAGACTTGTCTATGCCTACTCTGACAGATAGTTCTAGAAAAAAACATTCTGATGATAAAAATAGAGTACCAACTAATGTTTCCAATAGTCACCATCGCGGATATCGACACAGTGGCTCTGCTAGTGGACTTGGTGGCTATTCGCCAAGGAAGAGGAAAAGTGAAACTGATATTAAGACACCTTCACCACCATCTAAGGTTTCTTCGGGGAAGAAACGTGCTGGATGGGATCTTCCTCCTGTAGGGACAGATCCTTCTCCAGCTGCTGTTCCTTCTGGTTTTCAATTATCAAATCATAGTGTGTTGTCCAGCATCCATGATTTAGCTTCTGCTACTTCTCAGGATCCATCCATCGTGAAGCCTCTACCAGTGTCATATTTTAATGTGGTATCAAATGGGAAGAATGACACTATTGATTCCGTCCAACTGACACAAGCTACCCGCCCTATGAGAAGGCTTTATCTGGAAAACTTACCAGGTTCAGCCTCTGAGAAAGTTGTGATGGATTGTTTCAATAACCTGCTTTCTTCCAGTGTAAATCATATCCAACAAACTCGGCCATGCATCAGCTGCATTGTAAGTTTGTAGCACAGAACATGGAAGTTAGTTTCCCCCAATGAAGAAATGGATTTGAATTGTTATATCTTTGCTGCAGGTTCATAAAGATAGGGGCCAAGCGCTTGTGGAATTCCTTACAGCTGAGGATGCATCAGCTGCCCTTTCTTTTGATGGAAGTACACTACTTGGCTCTATGGTGAAAATTAGACGTCCCAAAGACTATGTTGAATTTGCAGTAAGAATGAGAATTTTGTATATATCCTTAAATCTTTTGTCTATACCCTGTCAACATAATAACAATTAAAAGTGTTTGATATTTTTTCTCTTAAAATTCATATTTACTTTCATAAATTCTATGGACTATTATTTCCACTACCAAAATTTAATTTTCTCAAAAAACTAAGCAGACATTCATAACTAGTTTCTGAATGAAATTATATGACCACTTATTTTTCTTATTTATTGTTGCAATATTTTAGCAAATTGTTTATGATCTTAAGTGGAAATCAGTTTTTGTATATTGATGTAGTGATGATGGTGATATTTCAATATGAATTTGCTGAATTCCACTTATCATTCTCTTGGGTTCCATTTTTCCATGTTTTCTTGTTTATATATGTAGTTTCTTTAATTTTATTTTATGACATGATCAATCTACGATGTTTTTGTTTAAAAAAGATCATTAATCATTTAATATGTACTTGTGGATTCTCCTGAATGATACTCCCTCCCAAATGTGCTATAAGCAAATTCTACATCATAGTTTTCAGAATGAAATGTAAGCATATGTTTATTTCTTCTCCCATATTTAAGGATATCTCTTGAATACTCATTTAATTTAACATTTTAATATTTCCAATTAATCAATTTATTAGTCATAAGGCAGTTTACACAATACACATAAAAAAACTGGAAATTGCAAAAATTGAACATTATCAACTACTTTCTTAATATACATAGTTTGATCAAATTTTGCTTATTTTTTAATTCCAGAGGGAGTATATGGTTATTACTAATGTGAAAGGAATTTGCCCATATAAAAGGGAAACAAATATACACAGTGCTATTTGTTTGACTTAATTTCTATGTTTATGTAACATTCGTGTGGCTTCTTGAATCACAATTATGAACTACTATATCATTGAAAAATACCAACAGAAACATCTGAAGGGAAGGATTAAAAATCTGGTTCATGGAGGCTTAAAAGGTTGCTGGTGCAATTATTAAGCCAAGACATAAAAGGGACTTTTGATGTCCCTCGTGAGTTGAAAAGACAATCTTGAAAATGTCCTCCATTACAATCTGGTGATACCCAAATTTTAAAAATCTAACTTAGAAAGATATCGCGATCCATATATTTCATGAAGGAAGTCATCAATAATAGGACTAGGTAACTTCATAAAATTAGTAAGGATAGATGTTTTCATGTATAGTAAATTAGTAACCAATTAAGACATTTTTATCTTGCGTATGATATTGAGTGTATTTACACATTGAGTTCTTGAACGAATAAAATTTCTTTAGTTTTTAATACAGTGCTTACTCAAGTAAGGATATTGATTGTAAGGAATAGAATTTCAGTAAATTTATAATATTTTATGCTTTTACATTCTTGTTTGCCATGTTACTTATGTCACTCACATTATCTTAGACTAAAGTTAATGTTAACTGGACTCTCTTTATTTTATTATATTACTCAAACTTATTTCAAGCTAATGTAATTCGCAAGCATTGCAGTTCTAAAGGTATATTGTGGTTATCATCCATGAACAGGTTTTCAGACAATTGCTATTTTCATGCAGACTGGTGAACCAGAGCGATCAGTGGAAGTTGCTGTCACTATAAGTGATGTTGTAGTTAATTCACCAAACAAGGTATGCCTGCAAAACCATCTCGAGTTGATAATTTTATATTCATACGTGCAAGTGTCAAGCAAGCCAAATCTTGTGCATGTACCGTTTTCTTCTGACAGTCTTTCATTACATGGCTTAATCTTTTCGCTGTGCGGTGGAATACAAAGTTTCACTGCAGTAATAGGTGTATACATGGCTTAATTTTATGTAAAAGCTCTATGCAAATAGCGTATTTGATTCAGTTTATAGTACTCAAACATCAAGTTATATGTAAAGGTATATAATTCTAAAATTGTTTAAAACAAAGCTTATAGAGAAGATATGAGAAAACTCGAGTCTACAACTTGACAGGTATATTGCTTTTATATTGCATATACAAGGATTGGCATAAAGTTTTAAGATGCGAAGTCATAAAAGCACCATTATACTAGTAATCATGACCACTTCCCCTTGAGCCAGTTAATCCTTGTCTACCTTCAGCTTGTTACAAATGTCATCGATCCACTATTTTGAAAGTTCTTTGGTTAATCCCCATACCTTCACCCCTTCTCATTCTTCACCTCCTCTTCTGGCCCAAAGACCCATTCCAACATATTAATACAATCCAAATTCAAAAACCTTTTTTTGTTGTTCTTTGGTGTTTGCCCAAGAGCATGATTCTTGGTGGCCGACTCTCCACTCTGGCCGACTCTCCACTGTCTCTGCCAGAAAATTTTAGTTGTTGCTTGAGATGGCATTCTTAAGAGACAGTTATGCCTCCATATTTTTCTCTCCTTCGGGAGGGGGGTTCTGGAGAATCAGACATTATAGTGAAATAAATTGAACTAAAGTTGGAAAGGACTCAACATAATTCTGAGTTGTTAGCAAAAGCAAATAGTAGCAATCAGCGCAGGGTTCTTAATCACAAGGCAGAGAGGGTTATTTGTCGGAAGAAAGAAGGTTTTTGGTTGCAATGCACTAGGTTTTGAGAGAAGGGTCATGTTTGAAGGTTGCCTGGTATGAGAGAGGGTTTTCACTCCCAAAACTAGGTATTTTGTGGGTTTCTGGGTCTTTCTCTAACCAAGTAAGCTGTTTTTCGGACTGGGCCACGAACCCGACCCAAAAATCTTAATTCAGCAAAAAAAACATGATTACTCACTTATGTAATTTTCTGCTGTGATTTTGCCTGATTTGACCAGCACATGTAGGTTCTGAGTTGTAGAGCACTCCAGTTATACTGACATGACATGTCAGTTAAACTGAAACTTTTGTTTGAGCTCATTTATGCTAAACATGTGATTGTTTATTCCCTAACTAACTATCTAACTGTCCCTAACTGAATTTCCCATCTCTTTTATCCAACGTCCCTCTAATCTCATCTTCTATAACTTAAATATATGAAAAAAGATATTGTTTTGTCACAACTGTGCTCTTTTTGGCTAGGTTGGAACAATGCCCAAGCCCAGAACAGATAAAGCCACTTTATACAAACTATATGTTATTGCTTTGACTCGTAGTAGTTTTACTGTACTCAACCTAATCCATTATTATTTGAGGCTATCCTATTTGAAGACATAGCCTCTTTTTCACTAGTGTCTATCGTATTACATGTTCTTACATACTAATCACTCGTCTTTGAAATGAATACATGTTCTTTTGATTGTTCCTCGAGAATTAATCCTCATGAATTAGGGGACCAGTAAGTCTTAATTCCTCTGCTGTGGTTATTTGCCAACGTGCTTACTTCATACATTTTGTTCCTTCATTAACTACCTTCTTAGCTCTAACTAGGACTTGCATAAGAATTTTAAGTTTGGGCTATTTCATTCAACTAACAGTTATTTCTAAATAAACATGTTTCCGGAATTCATAGCTTCAAGTGTATTATTTGTTGTGTGCTGATTGTGTCTTATTTGTTTGTGGCAATTAATTGTTTGTGTGCTGATTGTGTCTTATTTGTTGTGGCAGGTCTTCATTGGTGGAATTTCAAATCACATTTCTTCGGATATGGTAATTATTAAGAAACAAAAAACTCCTTTTAAATATTTATAACGTTGAATAATCCTTAAAATTTTCTTAGTGTCCTTATAACTTCTTGTTACCAAATCTACTACCTACCTTTTGTGTGACTAAGGCTGATTTTATCTCTTTAGCTTATGGAGATTGCTGGTGTGTTTGGATCTTTGAAGGCTTACCACTTTGAGGCTAGGGTCAGCAGTGGATGCGCTTTTGTTGAGGTAAGGCTGCATTTCTTTCTTATTTTTCTTTCAGTAGTTTTGTATTACTCTCTACACTGGGCGTTCTCTGATAAATACTGTCATCTTATTTTTCTTTCAAATTTCAGTAGTTTTTACACTGGGAGTACTATGATAAAATAGTTTTGTATTATTTTCTTATTTCCTTTCTGCCTTTCAGTTAGTCTTTCTTCTGTAAGTAACACCGTGGCTGTCTATTTGGTGGGATCTTATGCTCCCTGTTATGATTCTACGATTTACGTTTTTTCTATACAAAAACGATCTTTGGTGGGGTCTCGTGTTTGAAAACCATAAATAACACAGTCATCTAAGATTGTGTTTCATACATCCCTAGCCTAAGCCAATTGAATGGTCACAGAAAACTGAAATCAACAACTGGACCATTTCTTGTTATTCCAGAAGACAAGCTAGTTAGTCAAAAGTAACCAAAACAAACTTCTGACTTCTGGTTGATTTATCATCCGCACTACCAACTTATTGTATGCTTACTTCTGTGTTACACATTGGAAATCACTGTTAAAATTATTTTGTTTCATCCTTTTAGGTGCCGACTGCCGAGTGATGTTCTGAAAATTAAAATACTAGTCCCTATTTATTCTAATACTAATCTCCTAATCTTTATTAAGCAAGTAAACAAATCGTGGTGTGTAAACAAATATAGAAACAAATCTTAATTGATAGTCTAAATCTTAATTGATAGTCTAGGCTACTTTAAATTACTATATGATAGAGTAATGTGATGATATGCTTTTTAAATATTCCAATACTCCCCCTCCAGCTTAGATCTAAGGCTAAAGCTTTAGCCTGTAACAAATAAAATCTATAGAATAAAGAAAACTCTTCAAACATTGTAATCTAGGATTGGAGACTGGTGGGATCAGGCTATATTAAGGAAATGTGAAGATATATCCCTAAGAAAATACAAGTTCCTCTAAATTTCTGATCTAATAAAAAAGGGATAACAATACATACTCTCAGTCTCTTTTCAATACTCTCTCATTGAGTGAAATTTATGTAAATTCCACTATTTCATGTGAGACACATTCCCTAAGCGGTAAGACTAAGATCTATAGATGTATATCAACCAAATAAGAAAGGGAGTGTTAGTGTAAGTGTTGCTAGCACTCTTCGATAGAATATTGATTTAATGAGATGTGTTTAAATATATTCTAGCATTAGTAACTGAACTGTTCTATGTAGAACTTCTCACCGGAATAAACCCATTTGTTGCAAAGGATTTGATCCTTTTGTACCTTGGATAGAAAAGCGTTATAATTATATTTTAAAAAAAAAGGTTATAATTATTGATTGGATAATTAAGCTTGTAGATTTTCTTAGGTTCCTTGATTGCAAGGTAGAGGAATGCGAATTACTCGTCCTTGGATTTTATTGATCGCAAGAAAGGATACACAAACGAATTAATCCCCTTCTACTAGAGCATTCTCTAGTGAATACAAGCTTAAACAAACGAGTTCCTGAAAACAAAGGGAGGGATCCTATTCATAACCATAGGGTCAACTTATAACAGAAAAAAATTTCTTATTTACTACTGCTAATCTGCAGCTTACTAACAACTAATTTACATCCTTTCTCTTTTTCTTATGTTAGACTTGGAGGAGTTTATCTTTTGAATGAGAATTATCATGTAACCTAACATTTTACCTCTTTGTAAATATGGGGTCAGCTTTCAACAGAAAATCAGTTCTTATTGACTACTCCTAGTTTACAGCTAACTAACTAATTCGGGGTCAGCCACCAAATTCACTTGCAAGTTGCAATAGTTAAACAACTTGATGAGATGGTGTTTAAAGTTTTTGAATTTGGGCACAGTGCAGTTTTCTTCCATTAGTTATCAGTTTAAGCCCTTATAACTTATCTGTTTGAGGTCTTCTAAAGGCAATTATTCTTTCTTTTCAGCATCCTTTCCAATTCTAAGAAAAAACATCTCAAAGCCAACATGCATCTTTTTATTTAGTTTTATTGGCACCTGTTCATTCTCTTGTTTTACTTCTCCCCCTTTCCTGTTGTAGTTTTTATTTTGTTATATTAACACTGACTTGAGAAACTGTCAGTATGTGGATCACTCTGTTACTGCCAAAGCTTGTGCGGGTTTGAATGGAATGAAGCTGGGAGGGGAAGTATTAACTGTTGTTCAGGCTATGCCCGATGCATCACCCGTGGTAACATTCCCATCTGTTCATTCTTTTAGTCTCAATTCAATTCTTGGATGTGGTTCATTCCTTGTTTGCCTTTGAATCATATGCTCTTATAATTATAACTGGATATGTATACTTTCTAAAATGGAAATATTCCAGGAAAATGATGGCCAACCACCATCTTATGGCATTCCAGAGCATGCAAAGCCACTGCTCAGCAAGCCAACGGAAGTACTGGAGATTAAAAATGTGGTACATAATTTTTTGTTATTTATGAAATTATTTTATGTTCCAGTTCAGTCTCGTTGTATTCTTCTTAATCCTTTTCTACTCTTTAAGTCTTGGTTAGCTTTAAAACATATTTTTGTGGGTAGGATGGATTAATTTGCATTACTCTTTGTAGTGTTACCATTATAATTACAGTAGAGAAATATTATCAAAACTTTAATGGTTAGTTAAATTGGATGTTTTAATGGTCAGATTTTGAATTCCATTTACTTAATATGGTCAGTTCACAGTGGAGTCTATATCATCTTTATCTGACACTGGAATCGAGGAAATTTTGGAGGATGTACGATTGGAATGTGCAAGGTCATTAATAATTTTTCTCTGCAGTTTCTATAATATTGATAATTGTAATTTGTTATATGAAGTCCTTACTATCTTGCAGATTTGGGACTGTTAAATCAATTCATGTAGCCAGGCATAGCGATGACAAGAATGTTGCAACTAAATCAGAAGAAGCTAAAAAGAATGTGGGTTCTGAAGAAGCTTCTTTAGTCACACACACTGTTACTAATAATGCAGAATCTAGTTCTTCGGAAGAGGCTACTCACTCCAGTTCTATCGGAACAAGTGGAATGGAACTCCATTACGAAAAAGATCTAGAAGATGTTAATATTGATAAAAATGCTAAAGTTTTTTATAATACTACACGTGAAGAACAAGAACATCTTGCAGGTGATGATGCAACAGTTAAAGATGCTGACAATGAGTGTATGCCTAGTCGTACCATTCAAGGATGTCCTGATCATCATGATATATCCTTTAATGCTCCAGAGTTGAATGATAACACGGTCGATAATGATATTGATGTTGAGAAGCTAGTGGGGGACAATATGGACTCAAAGGGCACGGTTTGTCCATTTCAGAAAGGCTTTTCTGAATGTGATATTAGTTCAGAGTTAGTTGGTCCCATAAAGGACATTAAGGAGGAGGATGAAGATGAATATGATATTAACAACATTGTATTTGAACCAGGTTCTGTTCTTGTTGAATATGCAAGAACCGAAGCATGCCGTTTGGCAGCTCATTGTCTGCATAGACGTTTCTTTGACGGCAGAATGGTGACAGTTCAGTATATTTCCCTGAGTCTATACAGAGCAAGATTTACAAAGTGAGCATTTCAAAAGTGAGTGGTAACACTTGGTTATAAGAAACATAAAAAGATCCATGTGAAGTGCAAGAACAGGTTAATCTGATGGGTTATGTCGGCGTGTTTCTTGGTGTAAGATTTGTGAGAAAGGTATTTTTTAATATTTTAATTGGTCATTCTAATTCAGTTTCACTTTGGGCTAATAGTTCCATTGGTCATGCTAATTGGAGATATTCTTTATACAATTTTTTTTCAGCATTTAAACTTGCAGTATTATCAAGTATTTTTAAATGTTGGTTAACAGGGTCATACTTTTCTAATATTAGCTGAGAGTATTAGTATTTAATTACTACAGCATCTTTCAGCCTTTTAAACTATTTTGTCTTTATTTCTAATATTTACTATTTAGACTCAATAGATATCATACGAGGGATGTCAGAGTGAGTTTCGTTAAATTTACACCCCTGTAGTTTTATATACTAAGCAAACAAATTAGACATTTTTATTTTAATCTCCAATACCTTAGGAAATATTATAAGTTAACATTAATTATATGACAGATTGATTAAATATGAATATTTATTTAAAATTTAACTGGGCTTCTCTAGGTTAAGCTGGGTTTGAAAACACTTGGTCCCTATGGATTTCAAATGGCACACCCTATGCGATTGAAAAAAGAACATTATGAAAATTCAATTTTTCCCCTGCATTCTCGAAAGTGTATCTCTGGAATGCATTTTTTTTTAAACTATGTATCTCTAACTAATTAGTGTGGGAAGTTAAAAATTCTGTCACATTTGCTTGTCAGATATTATCGGAAGTGTATTTTTGAAAAAAATTCAAAGTCAATTTGCTTAAAAGAGCAACTAGCATGAACCGACACGACCATCTTCATTTTCAAAAATTTTCAAAAATCCTCCATTCTCAATTGAGTTTTTCATTCTAAATTTTTATTCTCGTGGTTCATCATATCAAATGGAGTTAAAAGAAGTGGAATTTAAGGTAAAGTTTATTCCTTTTAACACTCATTCATCATATTAATATGATTTTTCATAGAAAAAAGTCACACTAATACCAAAAATGTGAATTGGATTTGATATACATTTTCGGTATCTGTATGTGCGTATTTTTCAGCAATTTATTCCTTATTATGGATATTTTTTAGTTAAATATTTTTTGTATATTAGGTATCGTGTATCCCAATGTTATTTCCAAATCTATTGTGTCTCAAGTTGTTTCATCTCTCTTAGTTAAAGCGGTAGATATTCGGAACCATTTTGAAAATGAACAAGAGTATAAATTTCGTGATGACATGCTGTAGTGGATTCGTACAGAGGCCACCAAACTAGGGTTTGGTGTTGTGATCGGAAGGTCTAATAATGGTTCGGATATAAGATGTGCATTTGTGACATTGACATGCGAAAGAAGTGGGAAATATATACGTCCTCTTCGAAATTTGAAACAAGATGATACCGGTTCAAGAAAATGTGAATGTCCATTTAAGTTGTGTGGTTATCGGTTGACAGATAATAAATGAAGATTTAATGTGATATGTGGTTTACATAATCATGATTTATGTGTAAAATTAGTCGGTCATTCAATTGTATGTCGGCTCTTGTCGAAAGAGAAGGAGTGTGTTTTCGACATGACATTGAATTTGATACCTCTCAAAAACATACTTGCAATCTTGAAGGGCAAAAGACATAGGAATATCTCAAATATCAAGCAAGTGTACAATATGTGTTATCAATCTAAATTAACGCTTAAGGGGAATTGAACTGAAATATAACACCTCTTGAAACTTTTAGATGATAACAATTACGTTTCTAGGCGTCAGAGATCTGAGGATGGAGTAACAGTAAGAGATATATATTGGACTCATCCTGATTCTATTAAATTATTCAATACGTTTTCCATCGTGTTTATGATTGATTTAATGTATAAGACAAACAAATACAAGCTCCCCTTGCTGAAATTGTTGTGTTACGCTGACTGATAAGACGTATTCTGTCGATTTTGCATTTCTAGAGTACGAAAAAGAGGACAATTTTGCATGGGCTTTAGAGGTCTGTCGGTCAATGTTGAAGGACCAAGAAGATATGTCGAAAGTCATTGTTACCGACCGATATTAATAAATTTGGTTGCAACGGTATTTCCTACTTCTTATGCATTACTATGTAGGTATCACATTACTAAGAATGTGAGAATTCATGTTAAACCCGCGATAGGGACAAAACAGATAGCGGGTGAAGATGGAAAACTGGTCAAGATGAGCGTTATTGTGGAGAAAATTGTGGATGCATGTAATGTTATAATAAATGCATCTACAAAAGAGCTATATGCTGATGCTGTTATACATTTCAGGAAGGTGTGTGTGGAATATCGTGATTTACTGAAATATGTTGAAAGCACAATTTTGGACCAGGTAAAGGAAAAGATTGTTTGTGCTTGGATCGATCAGGTTATGCACCTTAGAAATACAATAACAAACCAAGTTGAGTCTGCTCATGCTTGTCTGAAGAATTGGTTGGGAAATAGCAAGGGTGATTTGTGTGTGAAATGAGAGTTTGTGAATCAAATGATATTAAATCAGCATAATGAGATACAAACATCATCTGGTCGTAGTATCACAATGTTGGAACACAGGTTCAAAGAAAATACTCTATATTCTCATTTGGTCAGCAACATATCTCGATCAACTCAGAATTATATTTTTCACGAAGCCAAACGAGCTTCTAATGTATGTTCCGATAACTTAAAGAATGGTTGCACACGTGAAAACATATGGTCTCCCATATACTTGTGTCATATCTAAGAAGGTGAAACTTGATTTCTCGATACAAATGGACGAGGTATGCAGTCATTGGAAGAGGCTCAATTTTGAAGATGACAGTGTTATGAAAGACGGTAAATCGAATATCTTCATCTTGACTGAATGGGAAGCGATACAAGAAAGATTTTTGAAAGTCGATGACAACACAAAACTTCACATCAAAGAGAAATTGAGTAAGATTACATTCCAGAGACCACAAACTTGAAACCACTATCTCAACCGGTAAAAAAACGAAAGGAGCACCTAAGAAGGTGAAACTTACACCAAGCGACAATTCAACAACGAGGAGTCCATCATATTTTAAACACATTGACAAACCTTTTCCCAATTCACCAACTCCGAAATCTCAGAAAAGTTTTTTCAAAAGATTCCGCATTAGAAAACTATCTCCTACACCGCCTCCACCAAAAATACCATTCATCGAGGACATACCAGTTTTTATGCACAATTACATTGAACGGATCGTCAATGTTAGGGGTGACGATAACTGTGATTTTTGGGCTGTTTCTGGTTTGTTCAGTAAAGGGGAAGAGGATCACCAACTTGTCCGCGATACTCTTATCGGAGAGTTGAGTAGAAATAGCGAAATTATACACACAAGTGCTTGGGAATAAAGAGAAAGTTGAAGAAATTTATCACGCTCTTGTACCTTGCGTCAGTAGACATGCACTGGAGGAAAAATGGATGTGCTTTCCTGAGATGGGTCATCTCATAGAAAATGCGTATGAGAGAGTGTGTATTAATCTTATAAGATACGGTTTCTCGGAAGCTTTTTTTCCATTGCGTAATGCTCCACCATCAAATTCCAATGATAGTATCATCTGTGTTGGGTGGGTTTCAAATCTGCGACATTTTCTTCAAGTGTATTTGAAATCGGGATGCCCTATACCATTTACATCACCAGAGTGGACGAATTATTATACAATCAAATCTGAGACTTGGCCGAACCAATTTATTAAAAGGATGCAAGAGTACACTAAATTGAACAACATTGAAATATAAAAAAAAAATAAGGAAAAGTCAAAGGGGGTACCACCTATAGATTTGGAAGACGACAATTATTTTAAATCAGTTAACTAGTTATTTATCATTTATTGTACATGCCATTTTGTTAATGTGTTATGCTGTAGAATTTAAACATATTGTAGTTTGTCCAAAATACCAACATTCAATACACTTAGCTGCTTCTGTTTATTTTCTGTTTTTTAATACCATGGAAATTTCCGGAAATGTATCTCCAGAAAAATTAGGGTGTTTCCGGAGTTACATCTCCGATACATTCTCTGTTAGCTGATAGAGTTTGTGTGGTCCATAATATCATCCCACTACTATAAATAAGTTTACTTGTCATATTGTTTCATACCAAAACACAAAAAACCAGAATGGACATCAAATGACACGTTAAAAATGTTCACTTTACCGACAATACACTATCTTGAGAATTTAAGATCAACGAGTACACCCATCTTGAAGATATGCATTACATATTACAGGAGCTCCTACTATATGGTGACAATCGGAAAATTATGAAGATCGAGTACTGCTCGTCATCTGTTGACAAAAAAGGGAAGCTTGAGTTCAACAACCATGAGCTGAAGACAGACACTGATTTATAGGCTATGTGGAGAACTTTTTCCCGTTTAGAATAAAAGTTATGATCGAGCTGGATGCGACTATTTCGAGATCGGTCGACGATATTATCAAGATATTGCAACGTTCACCTGAATATTGAAGTGTAATATTTGATCTATGTTAAAATCTCTTATGTATTTCTTATTTTATGATATCAATGTTATTTTGATTTTGTGAAGTTGGTGTATTTTAATTATGTTTTTCTGCATTATGTAAGGCATTATTTTGAAAATATACTATCGGTTTGATACCATAAATGTAACTCTGGGAAAGTTTGTGTTTTATTACATCTTGGTGCGTCCCAGAGATATATCTTCGAAATCTAAGGGCATTTAAGTATTTTTGCACAATGCGCTAGAAAAACATAAGGTATGTTAAAAAATTCCCTTTCAAATTATCGTTCTCCAACTTTAAGTTTGCTTCACGCTTCTCCATACTCGCCTACAATTCCTCATTCCTTGACTTTAGGTCTTTTCCCATTTTTGTCTTCTTCAATTATTACCTTACTCAATAACACATTTTGCAGCATATAGGTGCCCATCATTGGATCCATATGTTGA